GGGTGTCCGGAGTGGTGTCTTGAAAGGAGCCTTCAGACCCGCCCTCTCCCCTAGTGACCCCCCTGGACGTGGTGAAGGTCCGCCTGCAGTCTCAGCGCCCCTCGGTGCCCAGCGGTGAGTGTCCAGCCCTGGAACCGGGAGGGGGCGGTGCCTGCGCAGCAAGACCTCCTAGAGGTGGGGTCCCTGGGGGAGGGGGGGCTCTCCTGACTTGAGGGGCCGCCTTGTGTTTTAGATGCGGTGCCTCCCTCCAGACTCTGGAGCCTCTCTTACACCAAATGTGAGTGCCTCTGGCCACAGGGAGCCGGGGGGTCCGGGGAGGGAGTACCATGGGCTAGCACGTGCCTCCAGGTCCTACCAGCCACCCTCTGTCCTGCACAAGAATGCCCCCCCCCCAGGACCCCAGCCTCTGCTGGCCCTCCCGGGACAGGGGCGCACCACCTCCCCGCAGGGTTCCAGGGCCATGGCGTTCAATGTCCCTCCCCTTCCCCAGTGCCCTCCTCTCTCCAACCCACAGGGAAGTGCCTCCTCTACTGCAATGGTGTCCTGGAACCCCTGTACCTGTGCCCAAACGGTGCCCGCTGTGCCACCTGGTTTCAGGACCCCACTCGCTTCACCGGCACCATGGTGAGGAGCAGCTGTGCCCGCAGCTGGGTCTGTCAGAATTCCCGAGGGATAGATGGCTGGGCAGCAGGCCCAGGAAGGAAGGAATACAGCAAACATGTTGTGGCAGCCAGTTCAGTGGGGGAAAGGCTCCCCTGAGGAGGTAGTGCCCTCCATGTGGCTTTGAAGGGTGACCAGCAGTCCACCTGGAGCCAAATGGGGACTTGCATGTGTGGAGACCTGAGGGCTGCTGCCTGCCAGCAGGACCCAGGGCTGTGGGCAGAGGCGAGGGCATCGGGTTAGGGCCCAGCCTGGGCCAGCCCCTTCACAGGCCTTTTTCTTGTTCGTCCTTCCCGCTCGGGGCTGATGTCCTCTTGGCCAGGATGCCTTTGTGAAGATTGTGAGACACGAGGGCACCAGGACCCTGTGGAGTGGCCTCCCAGCCACCCTGTGAGTACCCGTCCTGCATGCTGTCTTCCCTTATGCCCTGCTGACCTCTCGCTCCCCTGTAGGCTGGCTGGCTGGGGCAGGGAAGTCTGGGGGCACTGGAAGTCCCAGCTAACATCTCTTCACACCCCCAGGGTGACGACTGTGCCAGCAACCGCCATCTCCTTCACGGCCTATGACCAACTCAAGGCCTTCCTGTGTGGTCGAGCCCTGACCTCTGACTTCTATGCACCCATGGTGGCTGGTGCATTGGCCCGCTGTGAGCACAGCCCTGGGCCCTTGATCTCCCTTTGGCCCCAGCTCTGCCTGAGCTCAGTCCTAGCTCCCAGCTTCACTCTTTGCCCACTTAGGGGTGGGGAGATGTCTTGGGCTCCCAGACCCTGGGGCAAACTGCCATAAGGACCTGTGAGCTGATCCCCTCCCCCCCCCGTTGTTCCCCACAGTGGGCACTGTGACTGTGATAAGCCCCCTAGAGCTGCTACGGACAAAGCTGCAGGCTCAGCATGTGTCATACCGGGAGCTGGGTGCCTGTGTCCGAACCGCCGTAGCTCAGGGCGGCTGGCGCTCACTCTGGCTGGGCTGGGGCCCCACTGCTCTTCGGGATGTGCCCTTTTCAGGTAGGCACCAGGGGGCAGGGGATATGGGGTAAGGGAGCCCTTGGATGGTGCACAAGAGGTCTACAGCCCAGTCCCAACTTTGATTCTGCTGACCTTGAAGTCACTGAACTCCTCTGAGCCCTATCTCATCTGTGAAATGGGCTCAGTATACAGGATATTTGCCTGCGTTTTCATGAGATAATTCCTGCAGAAGCCTGTTACAGAAACTAGTGTAGCAAACAGGCCTCTTAACTGGGAGGGAGTGGTTGTCCTGGTATAGGTCCGTGGAAGAGGGTGGTATGGGGCCCACCCTTTGGCCTTCCCCATTTCTAATGAGTGTATCCTGTTGCCCCCAAGCCCTGTACTGGTTCAACTATGAGCTGGTGAAGAGCTGGCTGAGTGGGCGCAGGCCAAAGGACCAGACATCGGTGGGCATCAGCTTTGTGGCTGGTGGCATCTCAGGAACGGTGAGTTGACTGGGCTGGGGGTGAGGCTGGCAGAGGTGTCCTTGCATGGCAGTGCAGTAGCTGCCTGTTGAGAAGCAAGCTCACCCTCCCTGGTGATAAGGCTGGCAGACTCAGGCTGGGTGCAAGGGATGGGGGTCCTGGGAATGGAGATGAACCCTCCCCTCCCCACCAGGTGGCTGCCATCCTGACTCTACCCTTCGATGTGGTGAAGACTCAACGCCAGGTTGCGCTGGGAGCCGTGGAAGCTGTGAGAGGTGAGGGGTTTGGCTGGCGTGGTGTGGGGGCAGGAGGGGGTCCACGTGGGGTCTTACTGGGTCATGCCTGTGTCTGCAGTGTCACCTGTGCACGCCGACTCCACCTGGCTGCTGCTGCGGAGGATCCGGGCTGAGTCCGGCACCAGGGGACTCTTTGCAGGTGAGTGTCTGTGTCCAGGCCCTGGTGAGGTTGGGGTCCTCTGGGACCCAGCCTCTGACCCCAGCCTTGCCCTCCCACTGCAGGCTTCCTCCCAAGGATCATCAAGGCCGCCCCCTCCTGTGCCATCATGATCAGCACATACGAGTTGGGCAAAAGCTTCTTTCAGAGGCTCAACCTGGAACAGTCTCTGAGCCAGTGAGAGGAGCGCGGGGACGAGGGCCCCATCTCTCCCATGGATGGTGTGGGCCAGGAGGAGTCTGAGCCAAGTGCCTTGTCCTCAGGGGAGGGGCCTCATTTTTCCCTCTCAGCTCAGCCCCAAGGGTACCAACCCCTCCGTTGGGCCTGCCCAGGCCCCCATCAGACAGCTTTCTTCCTGCTGGTCCTCATCCCAAGCCCCAAGGATCATCACTTTTCCACCCAACCCCCCAAGTTCAAGACCAAATCTGTTAACGCTCTCCTCCCCCTGCCCTCTTGCCCATTTTCCCGTGTTTGTTGTAGCTGGGCCTGCCCCCAAGGCCCACAGAACCCTGGACCTGGCCAGGCTGAACCTACTGCTGTTAATTCACTGAGTGTAAAGATGATGAATTTTTCTCCCGTGTCTGTGTCTACAGGGGCAGGGGACACTGGGGTTGGGGGAAGCAGGACTTGGTGAGTGATTTGCCTAGAGGAGGCCTGGAGGGATCTTGGTGGGTATAGGCTTTGGCTGCCTGGGTGATGCTCATGTAAAGGACCCCCCAGTTTAGCGAGGACCCGGAGTTGGGGGGCGGGGGGGAATATGCTCATGTAAAGGACCCCCCAGTTTAGCGAGGACCCAGAGTTGGGGTGAGGAGGGAGGTCAACAGTAACACTGATAGTGTTAGGGCCAGGGTAGAGGATGGTGAGGCATCTCCCCAAGGGCACTCTTGAGTATGGCAGGAGGGAGGGTTCTTCACTGCCAGGCTTTGGCCTAACGGGAGGGTCTGCAACTTTGGGCCAAAACTGAATTGTGCAGGATGATGGAGAAGGGCCCTCCCAGGCCTTGCCTCCTCCATCCTGCCCACCCCCCACGATGTTCAGTCTCTTCTGCCTGGAGTTGAGCAAGTTCTTAGAGTGTCAGGTTGAAGGGGTATTTGTGTGTCTTGGTCCTGCTCTGGGTGGACTAGTACTCAGGACGCTTCATACAGAAGTCACCCACTCCGGGACCATCCTGACCTGCCTGCTCCCCAGGGCGCACTCTGATTCTGTGGGGCAGCATCATGTTGGTTGTGGGCCCAGCACTGGCTCTGCCGTACCCTGCCAACCTCAGGACAGGGTCCTGTCCCAGCCCCCACAAACAAGGCTTCCCTCAGTCCTCTGGTTTTTATTTGCCTGATTCCCTCAGAGCCCCTGCACTGGGGGCTGAGGAAGAAGTGACTCCAGGGAATGAATACAGGACAGGAGAGGTGGGGGAGATGAAGGGGCTGAGGCTGGGCCACCAGCTCCTGAGGAGGGTGGGGAAGATGGGGAGAGTCCCAGGAGGGAGCAGCCAGGCATCACAGTCACCAGAAGCATGGAGCAAGCTTCCCCAAGGACTTCGTGGCCTTGGCGACCCCACCTTCCTACCCAACAGGCTTCCCTTGGTAACCCTGCTTCCTTGGGCAGGAAGCTAAAACCAGAAGCAAAAGGTTTTGTTGCCAAGAGACACCTGGCTGGGTGGGCAGCAGTCTCTGGCAGGCGGCCTGGATGGGGGGGACTCTGAGGAAAGGCGGCAGGTGGCTATGCCCTGGCAGGTGGGGCTGGCACAACCCACACTGTTCAGCTGGGGCTCAGTGCTGGGCTGCCCTCAGGACTGTCGCTCACCAGGCACTCGTTGGATTTGAAGCTCGCCAGGGACTTGCAGCTGGGGATGGAGGCCAGGGAGCCGCAGAGGCCCAGCATGGAGGGCGTGGGGTCCTTCCCTGGGGAGAGAGGGTGGGTGAGGCCAGGCCAACCAGTCTGCCTGGGTCGGGCCTTGGGATCAGACTACCCCACCAGGAGACGCCTCATTTCCGCAGCATTTGCCATTTCCATTGACCTGGTTAAGCACCTGCCTGTGCCATGGACAGCACAGGGAACACTATTGTAATCGTCAGTTTGTGTTTCTGTCTCCCCGAGGTTCTCCCTCTCTCTGTCCGTTTATTAAACACATAGTGAGCACTTGTTCTGTTCCAAGCACTGGGGGTACAGAGAACGGACTAGACACAGTCCCTGCCCTCAAGGAGCTCACAGTCTGGTGGGGAGACAGACACATGGACAATCACAAACAGTGTGGCAGGGTCACGTTCACAGCCTGCCTCGTCTCGAGATCTAGGGTCATCCAGTCCAGTGGTTTTTAGAAAAGACATGACCTCCAGGCACCGGGAAAACTAGGGTGGGAAACCAAGATGAGGCCACGGGGAGGGCAACACAAAATGCATGCGTTGAAGTCCTGGGCATTCGCTTGAAGGGAGCCACTAATTTGGCTCAGAGCTTCCTGGCAGCCGAAGAAAAAGGGGGAAACAAGGGTCAGGCACGTGGTTCACAGAGCGCATGAGATACGAGCAAATTAGGCAAAGAACTCCCCGAGCATTGGAACCCCTTGAGGAAGTCATGACCCTCACCACCTGCCAAAACGATCACTGGTCAGCATCCCCACTTACAGATGAGAAGCTCAGCGGTGTGAATACTAACCAAGCTCCACTAGAGGAGGCACAGCTGGGGTGTGCACTAGGGGCTGCCCTGCACCCCAAACCAAGCTCTGAATTGCTGCGCTAACGTCTCCGGGAGGGCTGAGTTAAAGGGAATTGACCAGGGCCCGACTCCAAGCCCCACGGCCTGGCCTGAGCCCTTCCTGGAGGCATGCTGGGTGCTGCATGGGGGGCTCACCGATGGGGCCCCAGGGCTCCTCATCCTGTTTGCCCTCTCCCAGGCGCTGGGAGTCCGAGCTCAGACTGGCTTCAGCTGACAGCCGCTCCGTGCTCATGAAGCTGTGTCTGTGACAGAGCAGAGAGCTGGTGTCTGGGCAGAGGCTCACCGCCCCCCAGGCCCCTCTCCCCACAGAGGGCCCAGCACTCAGGCCCAAGCTGAGCCCAGCTGTGCTTACCTCCGGTACAGCTTGGGGTTGCTGACACCCTCAGCCCCGTTGAGCGTTCCCAGTGATGGCCATTGGTTGACCAGGGGCGTGGTGAGCTCCTTGGAACCCTGGGCTAGGGGAGCGTGGTCGCCAGGGATCAGACCTGTCCTGGGATGGGGAGGTGGGGGTCAGGCTGGCTGGGAGAGGGAACAGAAGTAGGGAAGGGAGTCTCAGCAGGGGGGAGGGGTTAGGGTTGAAACCTGGGTAGCAGAAATGGGGACAGAATGTTGAGGATCAGTGGGGCAGATTCTAGAAGCCAGTGGAGAGTACTGGGGGTCAGAGAGGTGACAGGGATTGGTGCCCTCAGGTTGGGGGCTAGAGGGAGTCAAGGGTGTTGTGAGAGTTGGAGGAGAGTAGTGTAGGAATTCTGAAATGTAATTAGTGGGGGTGGGGGCTTGGGGAATCATGCCGGGAGGTCATAGGATGATGAAAAGGTTTAGTGGGTAAATGTCGGGTGGGTAGGAATGAGGTCAGGGGTCACCATGGGTGATGACAGTCAGTGGGGTATGTAGCACATCAGAGGGAATAATTCAATGACATTCAAGGTCGCTGAGTAACAGGTCCTTGTGAGTAATGGGTAATGTTGGGGCCCCTGGAATGATGTTGGGTGGATGGCCCTTCTAGCTGATGTCGGGTAATTGAGATGAAGTGGGGAACGGGTTTTTGGAAGGGTCCCAGGATCTTAGTTGAGGATAAGGCAGAAGGTTCCTGGGGAGACTTCAGGATAGAGGATGGGTCAGTGGTTTAATGCTGGTGGTTGGTTGAGTTGGATCCAGGTATCAGGAAAGGTGAGGTTGGAGTCAGTGGGGGTGATGTGGGGGGTTCCCTGGGGTGATGTGATGGGGTTGGGGCGGCAGGGGTCAGGGTCAGGGCGGCGACGCTCACAGCTGCTCCTGCAGCTCCAGGATCACGCCTTCCAGCTCCCGCTTCTCGCGTTGGTTCTGCGCCGCCGCCTCCTCCAGCTGCAGCTGTAGCCGCCGGTTCTCCGCCTCCAGGTCCTTCAGCTGCGACTCGCGCAGACGCACCAGCTCCTCCAGGTA